AAGAAAATCAAATATTAGCAGACAAATGTGTAAAGTTGACTGTGTCCATGTAAAAACTGACTTGCAGGCATCACCGACAATCAAGCAGGCTTGTCTAGGGTTTATGATTCAGAAGAAGGGTGAGACCACAAATGATGTTATTCACCACATAAGAAGGGTTTATGAAATTGAGAGGTCATACCTGTGAATCGATTGGTGACCGATGAAGAAGGCGAGACTGGTGACCGATGAAGAAGGCGAGAATGGTGAACGACAATGTGCGATTCCTACAACCGATCGATAGAACAAAGGTGTCGCTTGGAGAAATCGAGGGAGCCATACCTGGTACGACGAATAGAGAAAAAATAGGGAGGGCAAACCTGTCAAAATTTCACATCTGAATCGTATGGAGGGCGTGTGGGTGAAGGAGCGATTCAGATCTACATTTATCATTCAGACTTTGTAAAAAACCTATCCAAACAATAAAATGTCTGACCGAATCAGACCCTTACCTCTTAATGGTATCATTCAGAGGTAAACAAACAGCCCCTCTATAATTAGGAGTCCATCCCTGAGCTTGCCACATAATGATGTTAATTTCATTTGATTCAGGAGATAAAAAAAAATTGATATAATTAAGTGATAATCACTGGTATGTATCTGGTGGGGAATTTTCTGCCTCAAGTTTGGCTGGTGAAATGGTGTCTTTACTTACCACATTGATTTTATAACCATAACAGGTCATAACTCTTTCCTGTTTTGTGTGTTTTTCTTTGTCAGCATAGGTAGGGATGATGCTAAGGGGTATGGGATTTGCAAACACAACTCCAATCTACCTGGCATCAGGAAAAATATATCAGGCTGGCAAAAACTTAGCTCCTTTGAGGAAACTGTTCCCCCTTCTACACACGAAGGAGTTGCTTGCTACTCCGAATGAGCTTGCATCACTGAAGGTACATCTCTATTAATCAACGTGATACTTGGGAAGTGTTCGTTTCTTCAACAATTTCAACTTAAGGTAATACAGTTTTGTACAGAGAAAGATGCTACAAACAGAATGCTAAATTATAGAAGATTGGACAAAACCCATCACATCTACTAATAACAAAACAAATTGTAGCTGGCCGTCAATCTTTGGCTCTTTTAACTCTCAATTCAAGCAAGCAGGAAAATATATTCCATTACAAGTCCACTTACAAAGTTAACAATCGTCTCTTGTGAATCCCCTTTGTTAATATATGTGCCACTTGGTTTCTACTAAGCCGCATTATCCTCCCAGAATTACGCAATAACTCAAAGAACTCATCCTATCTTTATACTTGCTCCCCGATCTGCATGTGTATGGGCTTCTATGTGCAAATGCCCTTCTATTTTTTAATAGGGAGCCTTGACCAAGTGCACTCTCTGGAGTAAACGTTGCCTTGCAACCTTACCATGGTGTCTCCTTTAGTAGGTCCAACATATATTTATGTTCATTTTCTTAAACATGTTCTATGGACTTTGCAATCTCCATACCAAAAAAACATTTTGAATCTACTGGATCTGTAATTTCATATTTGCTTCCAATCCAACTTGATTATCTTTGATTATTTATGGCTGTGTTTATATCGTGTATATAGACAATTAAAAATAACCACTTCACTTTCTCTAGAGCGTTTATAGAACATTGGTTCTTAGAAAAGCCATGGTCTTTTTTATGCACAGCGTAAACCATGACCTTCTATTTTGTAATGGTAGAAACCATGACCGTTAACCCCCCCTTCCAAAGTGTTCAAAGCATGCTTGTGATGATTATTTGGGGCCATAAAGTGCCTTCTATAACCCTCAAACCTTGCAAGCTCCAAGTTACTCTTTAACTTCATGTGGAAGACTAATAAACATTTCCTCTTACAAATTTCTGTAGAAGAAGGCCTTGATGCTAATAGAACCCTCCTCAGCCACCCATTAGTAGTCCCGAACCTGGCATTTTATAGGCATGGGGCGATTGTAAGGAAGGGCCTCCAACAAGTTAACTCCAGTATCCGATAATTGTAGTCTCAAAACAAAATATAGACTTGATTAGTAACATAAAATAGTTTGTCTAGCAAATTTGCAGCCATATCAAGTAGGATGACACTTGATTACAACAAAAAAAGCATTCTACTGTATCAAAATTACAACCATAACTTCTCCCTGAATAACAAAAGGTCTAATTGATTTGGAAGGTTAGTTAAAAAGTCAAAATATGTTTTTGCATAATTTTGATACAAGAAAGTGACCAATGTAGCTCCAGTTTATTTGGAGCGTGAGTTAAAATGTTGATTCAAGTGTTTAGACTAGAGTTGTTGCATAAGAAAGTGTTTTACATTGAGATTTAAATGAAAATACAAAACAATTGACTTCTCATAGAAGTCTGTCTGTTTTGCCAACAAACTCAAATTTGAGAATTTTATGCAAGATTAGGGGATGACTGAAATTATATGATTCAAGTGTTGTAATCATAAACAACATTTCATATATGTTTTCATGGGTCCAAAAACTTTTATGTCCGATTTGAATCTAACATGAGTTTTGTTGCATATTTTGAAGATTTAATAAAAAAATATAATAATTAATCTTCTAAACAGGTTTGACATGATGTAATAAACATGTTTTGAAGAGTGAAATTCAATCGATTTGGATTTGAAGAAAAACACATATTGTCGGTAAATTTAGTTACTAAAATTAAAAAACCTAGCAGGGAAGTGTAATGCGCCAACTCTATTGCTTTCTACTCGGTCTTTCTTGATTACTTGGGACCTCTTTTACATTACTTGGTCTCTTTTCTGGGTGTATTATACCTATAGGTGTAGTTATTACTCAATGAAATCTAGAAAAATTCATCTGCATGCCAAATGAAGCTTTGCATATCCACAACAAAAGATCAATAAACAACCTATACTAAAAAGATGGTCCAGATTCCAATATACCAATTTTTTCTCGAGAAATACAAATAGATTTAAGCATCTACTGCAACAAGTCCACCTCCTTTTGCACAAGAACCTCGAAGGATGCTCATTGCAGCAAGGCCGTATAGCTCATATTGTACCATTCGTCGATGTTTAAAATAAAATTAGCGACAGTGATTGAAAAAGGCACACAAGCTCCAAGGACAGAAATTCAGGAACATATTCTCAAGCCATTTAACTTTCTTCTCCACCTAGGATGCAAATTCAGAAACTCAAGCGTAATCACTAGTAGATATCCAAAGCATATGCCCAATAACACTACCTCAATTGTGCAGATGAAATTGTCGAGACCTACAAGCGTCTTGAATGATAATGGCATATGTCTTGCAACCACCCCTTTAAAATCTCACAACCTCTGTTGTGAGCAGAAGGGTCTTGAATTATGTTAACACTTAACAGTCCTCTGTCTCTTCTGCTTCTTCCTGTCATTCTCTGGCTGGAGAAAGCTGCCCTCTGGTTCTCTTTTTTTCTTTTTTTTGTCTGAATTGGGAACCCTAGTCTCCAATTTGCTAGTGTAAACACACAAAACGAAAAACAATTTCTTCATTTTCTTCGTGGGGGGGGGGGGGGGGGGGGGGTGGGAAGGCATATGGATGTTTCTTGTGTGATGTTGAGTTAAAAGATGTGATGGTGGTAGATGTGTGGTACTTGTAAGCTGAGATGGTTGTACATCATTGGCTGGAAATTTTAGTTGACATGCAGCTGATGAAGGTGAGCATGGGGAAGGCATTGGGTGGTTGACAGGTTTGTCGCAAATGGTGGATGCGAGCTCTCTTTTCTTACAACCATGCTAAAGAGAAGATAATAAAGTAGTTCTCTAGGTCAATGGCCAGAAGCAAGGTGTTTGGATTTTGGAAACCTCTGCACAACTTTCAATTCGAAAATGAAAACAGGCTGTCAACTTACTTTTTGTACAGTATTTTTGTTGGGCACGGTGATAAACTAGAACAAGAACATAATGGCAATATTGATGATGATATATCTGTTAATTGAAAAAATCCAAGTACTTAAAATTTTGTTCTGTATATAAATATTTCCATGTTGGATCTCTGTCAATAACATTTGCGGGCATCATTAAGTTGTATAATGTTGTTGTCTCCGACTATTATATAGATCAACTGCACTACTTTGTTGAACTTCTTTACTCTCTGTTTTTAGGGCTATTCTTCGAGGTTGGCTGCTCTGGACTATATTGTCTGCTTCTTCAGTGAAGTTTTTGTAACCACACAGGGTGGAAATTTCCCACAATTTCTGATGGGTCACCGGAAATTTCATTATGGACATGCAAAGACCATCATTCCAGATAAGCGCAAGCTTGCTGTTTTGCTGCATAATACAAGCATAAGGTGATTTTCTTTGAGATCACTCTTCTTCAAATCTGAGTTAAAAAAACAAATCAAGCTTCTGCACCGGATCTCATTCTGAAAGAGATTTCATATTATCGTACTTGTGTTGATCTATAGGGAAACGAAATAATAATGATTCATATAGAAGAAAAGATAATTCCAAGAGAGATGCAAGTGAGGGAATGAGTACAATATGCCTAGAATCGTTTAGCTTATATGAATATCTTTTAGTGTCCTTAACACGCAAATAGTTAAAATGGTCATTGTGTCGAGAGCTCCATAAGATAAGCCAAGATTATAGGATTGATTCTTTCCTATCCTCCCTTCATTGTATTTCTCCCTTCCGTAGTTATAGGATTGTTTCCTTATGTCTTCCTGTTTCCTCCCTGTATATATATTGGGTCTCATAATGAAATCAAATACACTAAAAAATATTAAGCAATCATATGTTTTTTTATTTCACATGTATCAGAGCGAGAGATCTCGAACCCCTCATAAACTCGTAAAACCCTCACCATGAGCAAAAAAGAAGTCCCTCCTGTCATTGTCCAGAATGTATAGGATGCACCGTTCCCATCCGTAATCATCTTGGATGATAAGAATTACCCGTTATGGTCGCAACTCATGGAGATGCGAATTGGAGCAAGGAACAAATTAGGGTTCCTCACGGGTCCCACCCCGAAGCCAAAAGACGAAAGAAGATGGAAGCCTGGGTCATTGATAATCATCGTGTCAAGAGTTGGCTCATTGATTCAATGAGTCTACAATTGATGCAACGCTTTATCAGACTTCAGACGGCTAAGGAGAACTGGGAAGCGGTTGCCAAAACCTTCTATGATGGTACAGACGAAACACAATTATTCGAACTAAATCGGAGATCGTTCACCACACGTCAAAACGGAAGAACCTTACCTGCTTACTACAACGAACTGGTAAGTATTTTTCAAGAAATTGACTCGTATTATGGATCAGGAAGATGTTAATGCCGTCGTATCCCTTCACAAAACCCTAGCCCGTCTAAGAGTGCATATCTTCCTGGCCGGCCTTGATCCGGAATTTAATCAAGCCCGAAGTGAAATATTGAGAAAGGACCTGCCCCTTGACCTAGAATCAAGCTACGCATAAAGGACCAAAATCAGAGACACTATGGAAGAATCCAAGTCGGAACCCGATGACATGGTTGACCTGACCACACCACTGGAAGCCGTTCAAAAGGAAAAAAACATCAACAGTAAAGGAAACACCCTTACCTGTACTCATTGTGGGGAAGACGGACACCCCAAACAACGGTGTTATGAAATCATTGGCTATCCAGACTGGTGGGATTTCTCAAAGAAACCAAGAAAGAAAATAAGACAAGCCTGCATTGCTGCCACAGGAAAACTCGAGGAGCCACCTACTCCTGTTGCAGCCCATGTTGAAAAGAATACTTCTGGTCTGTCAAATACTAAGGATCTTGGATTATTAACAAAGGGGCAACTGATCATATGACAAATGACCCATCTCAACTGATCATATGACAAATGACCCATCTCAACTGATATCTATGCATTCCCCTATTCAATCCGATATTCTTACTGCCAATAGGGGAATAGCACATGTAACCTGTGAACGACCAACGAAAGTATCTAGTTCCATGAATCTAGACACCATCCTTGTTGTTTCCTCTCTGTCTTCAAGCCTCTTATCTGTTAGTCAGATTACAAGAACTTTGAATTGCTTTGTGACTTTTTGGCCTGATGAGTGTATGTTCCAGGATATCACGACACATCAGATCCTTGGCTATGGTATTAGACGGGGAAAGCTATACTATCTTGAAGAACATCGTGGTGAGGCTCTCTATACTGGATAAGCGAAGGAACTAAGACGTTAGCGTGGCTGTGTCATTGACAACTAGGACACTTGTCCTTTGGTTACCTTAGGAAATTGAAACCAAGTTTATTTTCGAATACACAAGATTTTGATTTTAAGTGTGATATATGTGAGATGGCGAAAAACCATAGAATTTCTTATGGTCCTAGTAATAATAAAAATTTGGTTCCGTTTATCACTATACATTCAGATGTGTGGGGCCCGGCCCGAAGTGCAACACCAAACGGTGCTCGGTATTTCATAACTTTTATTGATGAATGCACTCGTATGGTTTGGATTTCTCTCCTAAGACATAAAGGAGAAGTATGTCGTGTGTTTCAGGAATTACATCGAATGGTGAAATCACAATACAATTGCAATATTCAGGTTCTCCAATCAGACAATAGGGGTGAGTACATAAATCATGAGATGCACCAGTTCTGCAAGGCCAACTCCATCCGACATCAAACATCATGTGTAGGCACACCCCAACAGAATGGGCTGGCAAAACGCAAAAACCAGCAATTATTAGAAATTGTTCGTGCCTCGTTTGACATGAAAGTTCCACGTGAATATTGGGGTGAAGCTGTCCGATCAGCAGCTTACCTCATAAACAGCACCCCGTCTCGGGTCATCGACTTTCAAACCCCTCTTCAGAAACTTCACGGGCTTGTTTAAGCACCAATGAGTCCAAATCTTGAACCAAGAGTGTTTGGATGTACATCGTATGTACACCAAAACATAGGAAAATTAGAACCAAGGGTTGTCAAATGCATGGGATATGCGGACCTCCAAAAGGGATACATATGCTATGACCCCAAGGAACAAAAAATGCATGTCACTCATGACGTTGTGTTCCATGAAAACACCCCATTCTTTAGCCATGAGTGTTCTCTTCAGGGGGAGAATATAAAAAACACGTATGAAGAAAACATCCATGACCACCTCGAATAAAATGTTGAAGAAACCCTCGATGAACCAAACAACGAGAAGAGAATCCCAATGGATCAAAGTGATGAACAAGTCAACAAAACAGGAAGCTCAACTGTTGACGAGAATCTCACAAACTTGGAAGAACATAATATAGCTTCCCCGAATGCTCCCGGAAATACGGTGACCCCCCAGGTAACTACCGACCCTATTTTGTGTGATACGACTAATCCTTCTATCTTGCAAGAAAACGAACTGAGATACCCAGCCAGACAAGGGAATTCCGAAAAGACAATACCAGCCTGACCTCAATGCTAAAGAGAGATACCCTATCAACAACTATGTGTCATCACATCGGTTGTCCGAATCCCACGCACTTGCAGTAAGCCAACTAACTGTTGTCTCGATACCAAATGATGTACAGGAAGCATTAAAAGAAGAAAAGTGGAAGAATGCCATGAGCAAAGAGATGGGGGGGGGGTTGCAAAAGAACCATACTTGGGATCTCGTGACTCTTCCCCCAGGAAAGAAGACAGTGGGATGCCGGTGGATATACTCCATCAAACTCAACTCTAAAGGAAACATCGATAGATACAAAGCAAGGCTCGTGGCTAGAGGCTACAATCAGAAGTACGGGATCGACAATGGAGTACGGGAATGGGCATTCAGAAGAAGAAGTGTTCATGGATCCTCCTCCCGGATAAATTACACCGACCAAGTATGCAAACCAAACAAAGCGCTATATGGCCTAAAACTGTCACCTCGAGCATGGTTTGGAAGATTCTCAAGCTTTATGAAAAAAATTGGGTATAAACAAAGTGATGTTGATCACACTTTGTTGTCAAGGACGAAGAGATCAACGTAATTGCCCTTAATGACGAAACTCCAAGAAGTCCTTGCAGCAGAATTCGAGTTAAAGGATCTTGGACCCCTGAAATATTTTCTAGGGATCGAGGTGGCACGATCAAGACAAGGTATAACCATGTGTCAGAGAAAATATATTTTAGACCTCTTGGCAGAAACGGGAATGTTGAACTGTCGTCCTCCTAATACCCCAATAGAAGTGAACCATGGGTTAAGAATTCATCCGGATCAAACGCCAACAAACAAAGAGCGATATCCAAGGTTAGTGGGGAAGCTAATATATCTTTCTCACACACGCCCACACATTGCATATATCGTTAGTGTTGTAAGCCGCTTTATGCATGCTCCAAGTGAAGACCATATGAATGTTGTTCATCCCATTCTATGGTACCTCAAAGCAGCTTCCGGAAAAGGTCTATGGTTAAGAAAAAAATCAAGCTCAAGAAGTAATAGGGTATACTGATGCGGATTGGGTTGGAGACAAATCTGATGGGAAATCAACATCAGGTTACTTCACCTTTGTGGAAGGAAATCTGGTCACGTAGAGAAGTAAGAAACAGGAGGTGGTTGCAAGATCCAGTGCGGAAGTTGAGTAAAGATGAATGGTTCATGGTGTATGTGAGTTATTATGGATTAAGCGAATTTTGCGAGACCTTGGAGTTAATCAAAGTACTCAATGAAATTGTATTGTGACAACGAAGCTGCAGTAAAGATTGCAAATAACCCCGTCCAACATGATAGTACAAAGCATGTGGAACTTGACCGACATTTGATCAAAGATCATCTTGAGAAAAAAAACTATTAATCTCCCGTTTGTCAACTCAAAAGACCAGCTGGCTGATATGCTTACTAAAGTCGTATGCAGAAGAGTTTTTCAAAGCTCTCTTAGCAAGGTGGGAATGTTGGATATCCATTCTCCAGCTTGAGGGGAAGTGTTGACGAGAGCTCCATAAGATAAGCCAATATTATAGGATTGATTCAAATTGATTCTTTCCTATCCTCCCTTCCTTGTATTTCTCCCTTCCATAGTTATAGGATTGTTTCCTTATGTCTTCCTGTTTCCTCCCTGTATATATATTGTGTCTCATAATGAAATCAAATACACTCAAAAATATTAAGCAATCATCTGTTCACTTTATTTCACACATTGTACATTCACGTATTTTTTGAAGTTATATATTCGAACAAAAAATTATTAGCCAAATACTTATACTTCCGTAATCATATCAATTACATCATACTCATTAAGTGTAAGTTAAATAAACTAGTAAATGGTGATTTTGGAACAAGATGATGTTGGGTAGAACATTTGATGTTGAGAATGTTAGGCATCTAATATATAATCAATATATTGTGTTTGGTAGTTTGATGAAAGTTGGATGAAAGTGATGTTATTACGAAATTACAAGTATGTGATTGATAAATCTTTTTCTCTGTTTTACCTCATGTTGGCAAGTGATAACAAAGTTTAGTCTTGTTTGCAGTTGGCATGCCTTGAAGAACGAGATGCAAGTAATGCTAGACGAAAGCGACCACAAGGGCGTGGCTATACCTACAATTAAGAAAACGAAAAGAAAGAATTCTATATTTGCAAACCCTTTGCCACAATGTCAGTGTCTTCAGGAATCAAAATTCTCCTAAGAGGAATGATATTGTTCTTCTCACACATGCAATCCTGTGTGGGGATATATCTGGTTCGTTTGTTTTACATATGCGATTCCACGATCTCCTCTACATTTTAGGTAACTTAGTTATTTCTTCCCTAGGTAACTTCCAATTAATTGTTGTATATGTGATAGAAAGGTTCCAACCGTTGTCCATGATATGATTGTTAGAACTATACGTCTTCAAACACGAAGGCCAGTTTTGTGGAACCACATAATAGATCACATACGCCATCGATGAACCATATGTGGTTCATTGTTGTATGTGGTGATGAGTTTTGCTTATGTTCTTTTTTTCTTTTAAAGAGTTGCTGATAGATTTCTCAACTCTCCTCTATGTTTAGGATATGTATGTGATTTTACAAGTTAATATGTATTTATTATCTCCCAGTCCCTTTCTTTTTTATGTAACTTAACACGAGTCTTGATGCAAAGGACTGGTTTTTTTTGGGCTTGGACCTTCTAAACCAGTCTCTCTCTCTCTCTCTCTCTCTCTCTCTCTCTCTCTCTCTCTCTCAAGTTAGTGTCTTTAACAACAATTTGATTGATTATGATGGCAAATAACCAGGTTAGATTACTTAAATGTTCATTTTATGCAGATTTTTAGAAGGAAAAAAATGTGTTTTCTCGATCGATTGTTTTACGAGTTTGTAATCTTGATTTTCAGGCGGTTTTTTTTATATATATTTTGTCTATTTGGTTGTACACCCGCTAAGTTCTCTAGTCTGAAACTGTTTGGATAAAAAAATGCAACTCGTAAAATAGGGTTTTCCTATCTTGCGAGTTGCATTTTTTTGTTTATTTTGTGTTGTTTTATTTCACAATTTGTATGGGAAGTTAATCTTATTGTAAAATAGGAGTTTCTTATTTTTTCGAGTTGTATTAATTTGTTTATTGTGTTTTTTTTTGTTTTCCGTTTGATAACTTGTACATAAACATATATTTAAATTGTGGTACCATTTTATTTATACGTAACTCGCAAAATAAGAATTTTTTTGTTATTATTTTTTGGTATTATTATTCTCTGATTTATTGTTATTTGTTTTATATTAATGTTTGGTTTGTTATTGTGGTCCTAGATACTATGAGGATTGCCTTACACTTAAGGCGAAGATTATCATTTTTGGTAAGATCGCAACGAAGTTGATTTTGGCAAAAATACATAAAATTTCTACAATCTTCATAACCAGAGGTGGATCCAATGGTTAAAAGGGGGGGGGGGGGGGGTAAGGACCCCAGTGAAAAGTAATTTTTTTTTACCTATGTTAAAAATTGGGATTTTATATTATTACCTTCACTTCCCCCCTGTAGGTTTTTCAAGGGCCCCCCTGTTCTCGTCGATTCCCCTCTTCTCCGGCACAAGCGCACAACGACACTCTTCTCTGGCACCGGCAGCAGGAGCTTGTTAAGGTTTATTTATACTTCTGCAGTTCTGCTTTTTATAATAGCCGAGTCTGTGAGTCGATAGAGTTTAAAATGGAGGAAATGATTTGGTGGTTCAACCCCATTGACACACTTTTTATAATAGAGGATAGAGTTTAAAAATGGAGGAGAAAGGATTTGCAATTGGTTATGCAGTATATGAAGAGTGGACCCCATTTTGATTTTGTAAAACTTTTTTAAAATTAAAAATACTCACTCCTCTCTCTTTCTTTCTTCTTCACGGCTTCACCTACTGCAAGTCTGCAACTGTTGACTTTTTTTTCAAAACCCTTTTTTTTTTTTCAAATTTCTCCTCTTTCTTTCTTTCTTCGTCATTTTGCTTCTGCTTTCTGCTTCTGCTTTATGCATCTGCTTACTGTTTAAGTTTTTGGTAAAGTTAAAATGTAAATAGTAGGTAAACATTGGGGCTTTTTAAGCTTTTAGTAAACTATTAAAAATTAATATGAGTAGGTAGAGTGGACAAATACAAATATTTAATAGATGCTCATTTGCTAATATTTAATAGGTAGAGTGGACAAATAGTAGGTATATTATATATATATATATATATATATATATATACATATGATGTATTTGTCCCCTTGTTTTTGCTAGAAGATAGAAAGATTTCTGAAAAGAAAGGCATCAACGTCCGATAATAGTGGAGAACCTTTAAACAACTTGCGCAATGATCTTCCCTCAATGCCTAGGGAAGTTGATTTGAATAATCTTCCATCGGATCCAGYTGAAAGGAAAAGAATTTTACAATACCACCCTAATCAAAGAGATGAAATCAGACAACACTATTTGATTAAAGGACCGTGTCAACCACGTGGTCACGACTTTCCAAGAAGAATAATTGGGAACAAGGCAAGACGTTTTAATCCGGCTTGGTTTGATCAATACGGTAATTGGTTGGAGTATAGTTTAAAATTAGATAAAGCTTTTTGCTTATGTTGTTACTTATTTAGAGATCAATGTGGTGGACAAKGTGGGAGTGATGCTTTTTTAACCGAAGGCTTTRGTWGTTGGAATAAAACCGAGAGATTGACTACTCATGTGGGTCACATTAATARTTTCCACAATAGAGCTGTTAAGAAGTGTGAGGACCTAATGAGACATGGTCAATCAATTGTCCCCGCCTTACATAAACAAAGTGATATTCAGAAGAATGAATATCGTATCCGGTTGAATGCTTCTGTTGATGCTGCTAGATTTTTGTTGAATGGTGCATTACCTTTTTGAGGTCACGATGAGTCAGAAACATCTCTTCATAGGGGAAATTACTTGGAATTAATAAAATTAATCCAGGATCAAAATGAGGCTGTTGGTAAGGTTATATTAGAAAATGCTCTTGGGAATAATCTAATGGTGGCGCCAAGTATTCAAAAAGATATCGTTCACTGCTTTGCACAAGAGGTACTCAAAACATATTTTCCAAGAGATTGGTGATGATGTGTTTTCCTTATTAGTTGACGAGTCGAGTGACATATCTAAAAAGGAACAAATGGATGTGGTTTTGCGATACGTTACACATGGGATTGTTAAGGAAAGATTTATTGGTCTTGTACATGTAAAGGACACAAATGTTTTATCTCTTAAATCTGCAATTGAATTCTTATTTGTTGAACATGATTTGAGTTTGGAAAAGGTTAGAGGCCAAGGTTATGATGGAGCAAGCAATATGCGTGGCCAATTCAATGGTTTGAAAGCTTTAATCATGAGAGAAAATAGCTCAGCATATTATGTCCATTGTTTTGCTCACCAACTTCAGTTAGTTGTTATGGCGGTTGCACATAAACACATCGAGACTGGAAAATTCTTTGATATGATAGCCTCTTTGATGAATGTGGTTTGTGCTTCTTGTAAGCGAACATATATGGTTCGAGAAAGTCAAACGGAGAAAGTACAAGAAGCCATTGGTAGCGGTGAAACTGAAACATGTATTGGGTTAAATCAAGAGCTTTCTCTTGGAAGACCTGCAGATACACGATGTGTTCACACTACAAAACACTGAAGAGTTTGGTTGATTTGTTTCCATCTGTTATTGAGGTGCTTGAGTATGTTGAAGATGTGTGCAAGAATCCTTACAGCCAACGTCAAGCAAATGGTCTTCAAATATATTTCCAATCATTTGATAGTGTGTTTTATTTGCACTTGATGTTGCATATTTTGGGGGTCACAGAATCATTGTCATAGGCTCTTCAGAAAAAAGATCAATACATCTTGAATGCTGTTTCATTGGTGAAGTCAACCAAGTGACATTTGCAACAATTTAGAGTTGATGGATTTTGTCGGCTTCTTGGGAAGATCCCTTCTTTTTGCGAAAAACACAACATCGGAACAGTTAACATGGAGGAAGTTTAAGTCAATCCAACAAATCGAAGACACAAGACAAATATCACATATTGACATTATTACGATTACGAATGTTTTAACACGATTATGGATATGCAAATTCAAGAGTTTGGTGACAGATTTGATGAGGTAAGTTCCGAATTGCTCAGTTGTATGGCCGCATTGGATCCTCATTACTCATTTTCTGACTTTGACCCATCAAAATTCTAAGGTTGACAGAGTTTTATCCTGATGATTTTAGCAATGACGAAAGAACTACTCTTGAGCACCAACTTGAACTATAATGTCCAACATGATGAATTATTTGCTAATTTGAAAGGTATATCCGAGCTCGGTAGAGTGATGATTGAAACAAGGAAACATCTTGTGTTTCCTTTTGTTTATCGATTATTGAAGCTTGCATTGATTTTGCCTGTTGCAACTGCAATAGTTGAGAGATGCTTTTCTGTAAGAAGCTTGTGAAGCCAGCTTTGCGCAATCGAATTTGTGACGATTTTTTGAATGCGTGTGTCATTTGTGCCGTAGAAAAAGAAGTAGTTGCTAAGGTTACAAATCAAGATGTAATGACTCGGTTTCAAATGATGAAAACTCGTAGAAATCAACTTATGTAATCACGTAATATTAATTATAATGATTGATGTGTTGGTACATTGTTAGTTTAAGTGACCCCAGTGTATAAAATTCCTGGATCCGCCACTGTTCATAACCTAGTTCGTCTATGATCAGATCCAAGAGTTACATATCGAAAGATCACCGCATCCAACATTCCACCATATACTTTTATATCGTTGACATAACACCTACCAGGAGGTTGAGCCAAAATCCATTGTTGATATACCTTCATTGCGAACAACTTCGGATATAGAGCTGTTGATCTAAACTTTCAAAGAACAACTATACATTTGTTACTATATTTAAGTGGAAAAATACATACATATACCATACAAGTTGACGGCAGAATCTAGTAATGGTTGACAAAGACATCTAAAACTCCAAACATGAGAGTATCTCGAGGCCATTTACCCATAGAAGCTATTGCCCCTTTTTATTTAATAGTATTTACCATACATAGTTTCTTTAAAAATAACAAGGAATTAGTAGATTGGCTCCACCCAAAATCCAAAATGGTAATGGGATTGGGTTAAGAACTTTTAATCTATAATATGATGATCGAGTCAATTGGATCAATGATCATTTTCTAGGTTTCGTCGTAAACCTAATTGGTTATTTCCAATTACGTAAATCAATAGTTCAAACCAAGATTTCCCTTTGGCCCTAGAGTGAAAAGGCAAGGTTTGATTCCCGCTATCCGCTTTTTAAAAAGAAATTATGTTTAAGTAAACAATAGAAAAGATGTCATGGTTACAAGAGTCAATCTATTGCATATAGACTAAAAGGGCGTTGTTGGGGATTCACTAAAGAAAATTGAAGTAGATTGTGCCATATATAATGCAAAAACACAATGTTTTTCACGTTTTTCATGTGGAACTCGCAAAATAACTATAATCCAAAATAGTGGTCAAGATTCCTTTTGAAAAGTTACGTGGACAGATTCCCTGAGCTTTTTTTGTACACTGGCAACTCGCAAAAACCTAGGGTTTGCCGAGCTACAATAATTTATTTTGCATACTTATGATCTTGATGTTCCTCGAAGC